GGGGAGGGCCGGGAGCCGGGAGGGCGGAGGCCGCGCCCAGCACGGGGTGGGGGGGCCCTGCAGGACAGCAGGACTGCACAGCAGGTGATGCCCTAACCCTGGCCCCTCCCCCCTGCAGAAGGGCTATCGTAAGGAGGACTTCTTGGGCCCATAGATGAAGACTTGTGGAGGACAAGGTGGAGCGTTCCAGCTTCGGAGTGGGCAGACTTGGCTCCAGCTGCTCACCCGCCCAGCTGGAGGAGGAGCTGATGGCCATGGGGTCTCACCTCCTAGAGGCTGGAGACCGGGAAGGGTGGGGTCTGGCAGCTTGGGGCTGGTTTCTGCAGGGGTGGGGGCAGGGCTTGAGCTACTCTGGTGCGTGGGGTGGAACCCGGTCATAATGCAGAGGTGAGGCTGTCCTTAGCCTGGCAGGGCCGCAGGAGCACTGAGAATAAAGTGGCAGCCGGAATACTTCCTGTCTGGCTGCGGCGCCTGGACTGGCTGAGCCCAGGCGGATGCCCACACGGACCGCTTGGGTTACACAGGCCTCTCAGGACCAGGAGTCCAGAGTCAGAGAAGGCAGCAGAGCGCCCTGGAGAAGTCGAGATACAGGTCCAGCAGAGCCGGGGGCCCTCTGAGCACATTATACAGTACTCTGTCCAGCCTGGGGCTAGCACAGGGACTCATCCCCACCGAAGGTTTGGAGGTGCCCTGGCTAGGAACTCACACTAGTTGCCTAAGTTGGGGTCCGAGAGGCTCAGGCCCCTCTGGGAGCCACTGTTGATAACTGCACAACAGAGAGCGTGGTCACAGCTTAGAATTTAAGACCTTTATTACGTGGCACTGGGGGCCACGTTCCTTCCCTGAGAGCCAGACAGGGCTGCGGCCTTTCAGAAGGAAACCTCCCGCCCTGCCTGCCTGCCCTGGCGCCCCCCTCCCCGCCTGGCGCCCCCCCCAGCCCGCCGCACCCCCCCCGGGCTGCCCCCCCCCTCCGGCCTGCGTGCCAGGCTAGGCCAGAGCTACACGTCTGCCTCCGACACCAGGCAGTAGAAGTCCGTGCGGGCGCTGTAGTTCCGGGAGCCAAGGTCAGAGATGTCCACCTCACTGCTTTGGCCTCCCAGAAACACCCCACTTGCATGTCGTGAGGCTGGTGGCTCCCCAAAAATAGGTCCGCGCACGCCTGCAGGGGGTGACACGAGGTCTGATCAGCGGGCAGCCCACAGACTGCCCCTCACCAAGACCCACGGCCTGGGCCTGCGTCTGCTCGCCCCCAGCCACAGCGGCCAGGGAAGGTCAAGCCGGTGTAGAAGGGGGGAGGGGGAGGGGGCTCTCTCAGGTGTACGTACCCCCCCTCTGCGGGCCAGCCCCCCCCCTGCAGGACCCAGGGCGGCGGCCGGGCAGCGCCGCACCCAAGTCTCCCTCGGGGTCCGCGTCCGCGTCCGGCTCGGGAGCTGCGCGGCCCGGCGTGGTCAGCATGGGGTCCTTGTCGTCCTGCCGCTGGGTCTGCGGGTCCCCGGCCCCCGCCGCCGGCCGGTACTGCACGGCCCGCGGCAGCGCCAGCTGCAGCTCTTTCCAAAAGTCCGAGGACGGCGTCTGCGGGCGGGGCTGCGTCAGCGGGAGGCCCGGCCCAGGGTATGGGGGGCCCTGCCCCGCCCACC